ATCTTTTTAAGCAATCTAAGGATACCCCTAATTATTATCAAATATTAATTATACCTTTATTTTTATATGTTGTTGGATCATTTGGATTTATCTATATTGATATATTATAACACTCAACAGCTTCTTCATATCTTTTTAAGTTATCTAAGGATACCCCTAATTAATATCAAATATTAATTTTACCTTTATTATAATATATTATTGGATCATTAGGATTTATCTTTATTGATCTATTATAGCACTCAACGGCTTCTTCATATCTTTTTAAGTTATCTAAGGATACCCCTAATATATATAAAATATTAATTGTACCTTTATTACAATATGTATCGGAATCATTAGGATTTATCTATAATGATTTATTATAGCACTGCACAGCTTCTTCATTTTAGTTTAACTTACTTAAGGATACCCCTAATTAAAATCAAATATTAATTATACCTTTATTTTTATATGTATCGGGATCATTAGGATTTATCTCTATTGATTTATTATAACACTAAATGGCTTCTTCATATCTTTTTAAATATTCTAAGGATATCCCTAATTAACATCAATAACTAATTACACCTTTATTAAAATATATTTCGGCATCATTAGGATTTATCTATATTGATTTATTATAGCACTCTACAGCTTCTTCATATCTTTTTAAATTATCTAAGGATACCCCTAATTTATATAAAATATTAATTATACCTTTATTACAATATGTATCGGGATCATTAGGATTTATCTATAATGATTAATTATAACACTCCACAGCTTCTTCATATCTGTTTAACTTATCTAAGGATGCCCCTAATTAAAATCAAATATTGATTATGCCTTTATTTTTATATGTATCGGGATCATTAGGATTTATCTATATTGATTTATTATAACACTCAATAGCTTCTTCATATCTTTTTAAATATTCTAAGGATATCCCTAATTAATATAAAATATTAATTATACCTTTATTTTTATATATGATGTGATCATTAGGATTTATCTATATTGATTTATTATAACACTCAACAGCTTCTTCATATCTTTTTAAGTTATCTAAGGATACCCCTAATTAATATCAAATATTAATTTCACCTTTATTTTTATATGTATCGGGATCATTAGGATTTATCTATATTGATTTATTATAACACTCAACAGCTTCTTCATATCTTTTTAAGTTATCTAAGGATACCCCTAATTAATATCAAATTAATTAAACCTTTATTATAATATATATCTGCATCATAAGGATTTATCGATATTGATATATTATAACACCCAACAGCTTCTTCATATCTTTTTAAGTATTCTAAGGATAACCCTAATGAATATCAAATACTAATTATACCTTTATTACAATATGTCTCAGGATCATTACAATTGATCTATAATGATTTATTAAAGCACTCCACAGCTTCTTCATATCTGTTCAACTTACCTAAGGATACCCCTAATTAATATCAAATATTAATTACACCTTTATTAAAATATATTTCGGCATCATTAGGATTTATCTATATTGATTTATTAAAGCACTCTACAGCTTCTTCATATCTTTTTAAATTATCTAAGGATATCCCTAATTAAAATCTTATATTCATTATACCCTTATTTTTATATGTATCGGGATCATTAGAATTTATCTATAATGATTTATTATACTTTTCCAGGGCCTCTTTGTATTTTACTTCGTTGAATAATAGGTTTCCTTTTATTTAATTATTTTTACATACCTTC